GTCCTTGAACTATGGATCCCCTTGTATTCTATCTCCTCGACCCCGTTTAACGAACAGGGCTCATCGCTGTTGCTTCCGCCTTATCCGTGCCACGTTGTACCTAGGTGCTTTGTGTCCCCGGGTCCCCGGACCCGGTACCGGGTTCGGGTTAATCGGCATGCTTTCGGCAAGGTCCCTTCAGTAATTGATTCTCTGTAGACGTACTCTAAAGGCATCCTCCTGCCGGTGTCACATCATTCCCACGCTTGCTTTGTCGACAACTAAGCACGTACGTGAACGCAGTTATGTACAAGGATGGTCCGAGACGCTACGAGCATTTTCGTATCGCGGAGCAACGGGGTGGAGGCCGGGTAGGGCTGAATGCACACGCCCGGTCTGAGGTCAACCCTGTCAAACATTGCGACCGTCATCCGAAGTGTCAGCTCCATACATTGTGGACTATTTACAGAAAAGAAAGAGAGACTCGTTATCATATATCTGGCCTTTAAATGTGAGAGATCGACTAGCCCCAGTCGGTGTTATTGCCCAGCCGTGCACTAAGCATCCAATGGCTTCTGGCCGTACACCACGCGGAAGACGAAGTACGGATGAAGGTCCATGTTCCTCAACTCACTCGTAAAATGCTGGGCATAGCTTCTGATCATCTCTGGAGTCCACCCCATCATCTTACCCCACATAAACTGGAGAGATCCTTCAAGATCCTGAAAAATGGCAGCACGGAAGAAGAGACCAAGCTCCTTCAACTTGGGGTCCGTGGACCAGGGGGAAAGAGGGACCTGCACGTGCCCCATTGTTAGAGTGTCTGGCGTAAACAGACGTTGTGGGAAGCGGAAGACTTACCTTATAATCCTTCACTACTGTGTTCACGAAACCGGCCTCCTTCATCCCGTTCTCTATGAAGTTGTTGCTAAGCATATCAACTTCATACCCAACCTTCCTTCCAGCCGCGTGCCACATAGGCCCCCATTGGTGCATAGCACGAACAGCGCCATCTAGGGAACTATCGTCGCATTCGGTCACTCCGTTGAGATCCATATGTTCAATGTAACCGCCCGGCTTACAAACGCGGTAAGCCTCCCTATAAAAGGCAGGCCAATCCTTGACGGTACAGGCTAGCCAACGGAGGTGGACGTAGTCGAAAAAACCGGACTTGTAGATCCATTCCTTGTTGTAATCGTCAATTTCGAAACGGATATTGGGAGGGACCCAACCGGGTTGAATAGGTGAGATATCGGTACCCATAACGGTACAGTTAGGGAATTTATCGGCAAAATCGATGGCCCACAGTCCTGAATGTCGACGGGAGTTAGTATTTGAGGAAACAGTCGCCAAGACAGTGCAGAGAGTTGGCGTACCTGTGCCTGTGCCAAGATCAATGGCATTCTCAATCTTTTCTGGAAGAGGGGCATTATAAAGTGTGCCATCCAGACAAACAGTCATTGCATGATGGCTAGGCGGATTACACTTGGTCAGCTGTGAAATCGTTTATTGTGCGAAGGAAATTTCACTCACAAGATATCCAGCCCTTCATTCTGCTTATCGTCGTTAGGGCCCCTGCACGCAAGTTCGAAGAGCTCGTTAGCGTTGGCTGTTTCCTCTCACATGTGCGCTGCTTCCTCGTGTTTGCTCTTAATGGCGGCGTTGGGTCTGCGAAGGGCTTGTCATAGCGGGCCATCTCCTCAGCGGCGAGGTCCTCGGCGCAGGTCTGGAAAAAAGACTCTCGACCGTGATGAAGCAACCGCCAAGGGTGCCGGAATCGACGCATAGGTTGGGCTTGGGTCGCTCGAGGAGCAGGATCCACCATAACGATGGGGGAAGAAAGAGAAATCTTACCAATACTCTCCATCGGTTACGCTATCGCTATGATATGTTCGGCCATTCAAGGTCCGGTAATGGAGGATACTCGAACTAATCGAGGCAGTTGAGCTCGCGGCATCACTTCCGATGGTTGAGTCCCCGTCATCTTCGTCATCTTGCAGAGGCCCCTGTGTTGCAAAGTAATGCGCATCTATGTCAGCAATCACTTCCAAATATGATTCTGACCAAGTGACTGGAAATGTGATAGGACCGTACCTGTTCAGCCCAGTGAACTCCAGAAAGAGGATCAGCCACTCCAGCACCAGGAGATGCAGGACCAGGAGTGGGTGACGTTGGTGCCGGCGTGGGTGACTTCGGTGCGGGCGTCTGGGCCTTCTTCGCCGGAGAACTCATGGTGGAATCGTGGATACCTTACGAGGTATGTTTTTCCTGAAGTCGAGGTTGGGTAGGTAAAGAGATGAATGGCCGAGAACATGAAGCATTGTGGAGATGCCAGAGTCGTCCGATTTATAGGATGAGGTACCCGTGCTGTCAAATGTGATAGACGAAACCACCAACCTAC